GGAGGACGGCCAGTCTCCTTCCCTGGGCCGCGCCACGGCCTCCTGGGCCTTCCTCCTTTCAGAAGCGAGCGGCCTTTGCCCTGAATTCTGGCCATTCATGTCCCTCAGGGGAAAGACGCTAGCTCAATAGAAAGAAGGTTTATTTTAAGTCTGCCCCTCAGCCAGCCCTACTGGCCTCCCCTCTGCCACGGCTCTCTTCTGCCAGACAGAGGGTCTTGGGCGTGGGTCAGCTGAGCAGAGCTGCCCCAGCCCCCACCGGAGGACATGGCCAGGGCTCTGTGTCCTGCCCTTCCCCTCTGTCCCAGCCCTAAAATTCGGGGAATGGAAGAGGAGAATGAGGAGCTGAGGACGCCCAGTCCAGAGAGGGGGGACCAGTTCGGTGTCCTAAAACCAGGGCTTCCAACCAGCGTCCCCTGGGCCCCTCTCGTGCCCGGGACCAGAGGCCTGCAGGTTCTGCCGCGAAACACACGGTGCTGGAAATCAGGGTGCTGGGGCTGGGCCAGCGTTTGCCTTTTCCTCCGCGTCTCGGCAAAGCGACTCGAAACCTCTCATCCCCCAGCAGGAAAAGCATATGTTCTTTCCATATAGAGGAGAAATTGTTCCACGAGTGAGTAAGCCTCTTGGCCGCGGAGCCCGGCCCAGCCCACAGAACACCGGGCAGGAAGCTGGGCAGCGCTCCTGACCACTCTTGGGCCCGGGACCGGGCTGGCTGACACCCTCGCAGGCAACGGGCCCTCGGACGGGGCTGGGGGGCCGTGGGGGAGCAGGGCCAGGATGTGCCTGGAGACACTTAGCAGTTCAGGGGAGGGGGAGCAAGAGGGCACTGGAAGGCCCTCTTCCCGGGATGGAGGCGCATTTCTGCCTCCCGGCCGGGCTGGGCTGACCAAGGGTGGACAGAAGGCCAGGGGCGGGCAGGGGCGGGGCGGCTTCTCCAATCCCCTCACTCCCTCGTCGGCCCTGGAGTCTGGGGCTGAGTCAGAGGTGAGTCAGGTGTGCTCAGCAAGGTGGGGCCATTTTTAGACTGTAATTTCCAGGCACCCCCAAATCCTCCTTGATGTCCTCAGGGCCAGGTGTCAGGGGACTCCTTTCCCCAGCACCTCGGTTCCCGCTGCCCTGGGCTCAGCTGGGTCCTGGTTCTCTTCCTGCCTTTCCCCATTTGTTGAGGATCCACTGAGAGTGCGGTTGGCG